TGCCAGAGCGTGTTGGAATATACTTCCATGTGCTCTGAAGAGGCTGGAACCATTTCTCGGATCTTTCGAAACGTGCTGGCTGCCTCTGCGTAATGAGTTCGCTCGTAGTGAGCCTTGCCGATCTGCGCCAGGACCCAAGGCGTCTCCCGTTGTGGTTTGGGCACGACTCCAAATGCTTCCAGTGCCTTTGTTGCGTCATAGCGACTGAGGTGGCGGTAGCCAGAACCTATCTTGAGGAGGAGATCAAGCAGCCAGGTCAAGGCGTCCCGTTCCCGCTCCTTATCGCGAGAAGTGTCTATGGGCGGAGCGGCCATCTTCGGCGGCGGCGCAACAGCTGTATCGATCATGCTTGTCGGCCTGCTCTGCGGCTTTGAGGGCTCGGAAGTATCGACCTGCGGTTTCCTGTTGCCACTAACAACCCTGCCTACAGTCGAGCCAGTCGTTGAGCGGGGCTTAGGAGCCGCTGCTCTGGCTTTCCGCAATTCACGTCGCTCTTTCGACTCCATTTCCCTGGTTTCTCTGCTTGATGTAGTTCCTGGCCGGGTGGGCCGAATCTGAGTAATGGAGTTCAACAGCCGTACACTGCGTCGTGGGGGCGCTGCCGTCGGATCGAACGGTTGTGACTGAGGTTGAGATTGTGGGTGGGATTGTGATGGAGGCTGTGGGTGGGATTGCGATTGCGGCTGCGGTTGCTGCAGAGAATGACCAGACACGGTTCTCTTATGGCCGTTCTGGTACACAGGCCGCGGGATATCCGTTTGGTCGACCTCGGGGTTTGTCTTGGTGCGGGCTCTCGACGTGATGGGGCGCGACTGAACTGGACCGCCAGCCTCTCCCATCATAGCATGATCATCGCGGATGTTCTGGCCGTTGCCAAAGGGGTTTTCGGAATCTTGGTAGGAGTTGGGCTGTGCGCTGCGGCCGTTCAACCTGGACTGGAAGCTGTTCGAGGCAGAAACGGGAGGAAGCATATCGGGCGTGATCTTGAAAACGTTGTGGGGGCGGACGACGGCGCCAATATCGCAGAGGCCGGTAAAGGCGTCCCACATGAAAGAGTTGATCTTGAGCGCGTCGACAAAATAATCAATGGCCTTTTTGGAGTCGCCGTGTGCTGCGTACAGCTTCCCCAGCATGCAGTAGCAGGCGGCGGCGTCGGGCACATGTCGTCTCGATGTCTCGGAATGCTTGTCTGGGATGTTGTTAGTGAAGGGCACTGGCGACGACTACTGTAACTCCTTACTCCAGTGGTTGCGTCCTGCCCACAGGCCGCGCACCTTCTCCAAGGCCTGGGCTCCCTGCTCATAGCGACCGAGGGCGAGACAGGCTTGGGCGAAGATGTAGGCGCATCCCAGATGTTGTGTATGGGCATTCTTTGACCGCGCATCGTCTAACGCCTGCTTGTATCGTCCCAGACGGATGTTACAAAGAGCAAGTAGGTGGGCGGCGTCCGGGCTGCGGGGATCGAGGGCGTGCAGGCGGCCGGCAAGGAACAGAGCGTTTTCAGTGAAGCCGTTGTCCAGGTGGTAGTGTACGAGCTGGCGCAGTTGGGCATTGACGCCTGGGGGTGCTGACATGCTTGCTTGGCGACAGCGACGACAGAAAACGGATCCTCAATACGGTGCGCTCATAGTCCATGCGGCGTTGGCTATGGCGGCTGGGGCTGGGGTTGTGATGGTGTTGCGGGCAGGTGAGGGCAACGCGGTCAAGGTTGTTGGTTTACGCGCTATCGACGCCAAGCAATGCAGCAAAACAATGTTCCACCTACGTCTTTTGTACACATCTGCAGCCAGCCAGCTAGCCCAGCCCCGACAACCAGCCATCCATTGATCCCACCTTCACCATGGCAAAGGTTCGCAGTCCCGCCTACCGCCACCTGGATGCACCACTCACTGATGATTCCTCTTAGAAAGCTACCAAGACGTTGGCCGCCTCCAACACCAAGCGCCTCAACCAAACGCTCTACATAACGCTTGCCGTCCACGGCCTCTGGTGGCTCCTGCGTGCGCTGATCTTCCGTGCCTCTCTATCACGTAAATCACTGCTCGTCTATGTTCTCCTCTCGGCTCCCCAGCTCCTCATCGAGCTCTACTTCGAGCGCCTCTCCCGCCCCACCCTTACTGCCGATGGCGGCGTGCAGCGAGCTGGCGAGGACCTCGACGCAAAGGGCCTGACCGAGTACATGTGGGATGTTGTTTACTGGACCTATGGCTGCATCACTATGTCAGCTATTCTTGGCGACTACGCCTGGTGGTTGTGGGCAGTCATCCCCGCCTACAGCGGCTATGCCGCTTGGGGCATGTACACTGGCATGAGGGGTGGATATCAGGACGCAGCTGGTGTACCCCAACCACAAGCAAGCAAGAGGCAGGCCAAGATGGAGAAGCGTGGTGGACAGAAGATGCAATACCGTTGAAGAATTGGGTTCGTTAGGCATGTATTATACATCATTACACATAAAACTACACTATGCCTCGACCCGCGTGGGAATCTTGGGAATGCCTCGCTTGCGGTCCTGGTGCGGCACACCATACCGCCATCCAGCTGCAGCCGCTCCTCTTCCATCTCTGCCCGCAGCCTCTACGCTGACGTCCTTGAAGACGAAATCCCACCTCCGCTGAGGCACCACTTTCATGGCCCTAAGCTCTTCTTCCTTTCGCTTCTCTTCCTTCTTCTTCTTGTCCTGCTCTAATTCAAAGCGCTGCTCTGCGAGCTTTCTGCGCTTCTCTATTGAAAGCCCCATCTCAGCTTCGCGCTCTGCCTGCACAAGTTCTGGATGTGGAATGCGAGCGTCGGCAGGCAAGAGCGTGTTGTCAAAAGCCTTACCAGCATCTTCTCGAGTGAAGCGCCGTGACTCGGCAACGGGTACGAAAAGTTGCTGACGTGTTGCGGGATGTACTGCCAGGTCATTGATGGGCTCGTGGACAATGGGTCGTACGTTCCTGTTCTGAGGGAGGGAGGGGTCGATGTGGGGGGTTGTTGGAAGCATGGAGAGCACTGCCTTAGAGTAGGGAAGTGCAAGTGTTTTGCCCTGAACATGTTGTGTTAGCGCTTGTACAACAGTGCTTTCTCGATATTTGAGTGAACAAGTCGACGACGTTCAGCAAGAGCATGACTTAAGTTTTGTAACCATGTGGATGTCTTAAAGACTAATCGATTTTTTAAGAAGCTCATCATGTCGTGTTGTGTGGGATAGATGCAAGAGAGAAAACATACCTGGGCAACCCACTCCTTCTCCATTTGCTTCAATCGCACCACCGCGCCGATACGCTCGTTGCTGACGCCGAACTCGACACTGGCAAGCGATACTGTGGCGCCGTCTTTCTTGACTCTCCGCCAAATAGCTTCCCTTAGGTCTTCGCTTAGGACTGGCTGGCTGCGGAAGTACTGATTGAGCGGGAAAGGCCGTAAGTCTTCTGCCGTTTCAGGCGGAAGCTTGCTGTCGTCTTCCTTTGGGCTTGGCTTCTTGTTTTCCTTCTGTTCGGCTGCACCAGACTGAATTGCTGCTTCGAGATCGTCCAAGTTCTCCTGTCCTGCAGGTGTCGCCTCTGTGGTCCCTTCTGCCTTGGCTTCTATGCCGGCTTGCTCTGGCTTTGTCGAGGCCGCAGCCTTTGCGCCCCCGTCCCTTTTCCACCCAGGGCCAGCACGCACTAGATTGCCATACTTGTCGTAAGCTCCTAGGTAGTTTGTCGAGTCTGGTATAGGTTCTTTGAGGTTCCGACCAGGCCCATTGAGCCACTCATAGAACTTCCGCCGCCGTAATGTGATTTGTGGGCATGGTGTCTGTGAGAATTGCCGCGAATGCCGTGACGAATTCGAGACGGGTTGTGGCCGTGCAGCGAAGCACTGAGTGACCTGTGATGGAGCGGCAGGTGTAGAAAAGTTTGAACACCGTAACCGAGGGGGCATGTTGAAAATGTGAGGGGCTACCGCATTGGCGCCGGGTATCAAAGATGAAAAGAAAGGGAAGGGAAGAGAGGGCGTGGACACGTGAGTGAGTCTAGACGGAGGAAGTAGTAGAGTTGAGTGAGGAAGAATGGGGACCTCGCAGGAAATTCTTAGTGAGACGCGATGTTGGTTAGCGCCTTGGCACCTATGGAGACCACGAACATCACCTAGACAGGATGCCTTTTTGGTATCACTGTTCAGTGGTCGAATATTGGAGATTACTAAATGGGTAATCAGAGTTGACTTTTACCAATGCTATTGGAATGCCACACACTTAACGCCATATCTTGCGCCGAAAAATGGTATTCAAAACTATGAGGCCGTTACATAACTGCCGAGGCAGACGCAAGAATATCAAGAAACAAAGCCGCGATTATCATGGAATATGCCGTCGAGACCGAACAATGCATACTCCAGTATGCATAAAGTCCCAACCGTAACAAACTGTAAACTCAAAAAGAACATGCGGCGAGCCGCCATAGAAGGTTCCCTCTACTAACAACCTTGACCCATCAGCTAGCCAGGCAACGCATTCTGAAGGTCCACAATCGTAGTGCTGCGTCTTGCATGAACATCTCAAGGCACGTGGTAAGACGAGTAAGTTCTCAAAACCTTCGCCATACACCACGGTATGAATAGTTCCCAAATGTTCCGAATAAAGAAGCGGTAAAGGTCGACGCACAGCCAAAGCAAATGCGTACGATGGTAACGAAGAGACACTCCATTCTCCAGACTCCGGTGTAATGATCAAACAAGCAAATCGCACAAGGGGGAATCATCGCTGTATGCTGCAAAGAGAGCCACGCCCACTGGGCATGAAAGCCCTAGTCACCCCACGCCAGTACCCATGCCCTTGCGTTAATGAAGCCAAATACAACCCAAACGACTCAACACCTCGCCATGATTGAAAAGACAGGATATAGTGGCAACAACAAATGAAGGCCGGATATGCAAACGCTCCGTGATGAGCACCCCCAACTCCTCAATCATCACTCATAATGGCATAACAGATATAGGTTGGTGTCTCGCGCGCTCAATCATGGAGGTGGGTGTCTCTAGCGCCCCATCATGTAGGTAGAATAGCCCGAGAAGCCGTTCCCGGCACCACTGGATGCGAGTGGCTGGCGCATAGCACCGGCCATGTCGTTATGGCTCATCCCGAAGCCACCGTTGGAATACATGCCAAAACCGGAACTATTGTTGGTGTGCACAGGAGTCGATAGGCCTGGAGGAACGGACAATCCTGGTGGTGGTCCAGTGGCCGTAGAGAAGCCTGGGGGACCTGCGGCACTACTACCGAAACCCGAGAGAGGGGTGGATGGGGCAATGGCAGATTGCGGGCCCATTGCTGAGTTCTGGCCACTGCGAACACCCAAGGGGTTCTTAGAGAAGCTCAAGCGAATGCCTCCCTTGACGCTGTTGTGAAGCATATATCCATAAAGCTCGTTGAGAGCCTTGGTAGCAAACGACGTGTCCTCAAACTCGACAAAGCACATGGGACCGTTTTGCTTGGTACGGAAACAAAGTCGCTTGTACCCGCGCTGCTTAGAAAAGACAGCCTTGAGTTCGTCTTCGGACGTGTCCATGGGGAGATTACCCACGTAGAGAGTGTTGCATGGGGGGTTCTGATCAGCAGGATTCACTGGAGGGTATGTTGGCCGCGCAAAGTGCTGCGTGTATTGCTGGTAGCCAGTATTGGGACCACTGCTCAAGGCGGATGGAATGCTGTGTGGTGACAAGGCTGATAAGGCCGGACCAGGCGACTGCATATTGGATCCGGAGCGTGGAGAAGCAAAGTTAGATAGAGGTGGGGATGTGGCATTCGGCACTCCGTTTGTGTTCAAGGAAAGAGATCCGAAGCGCTGGATAGGAATAGAAGGGGTGTGAGGGTTCGTTGCGCGACGCTGCATGCCGGAGTGCATTGGCGGACCGCCCGTGGCGTATCCAATTGACTCGTTGAGCAAGCCGTCATCATCGTCAGCGTCTTCATTGATTACTGACTTGCCCAGATTGCGGCTCGTGAAAGAGGTGTTGACGGGGGATGTCGGCGAGAAAAGGTTGTTGACCGGGAACTCTCCGTTGCCAAGACCTGGGGTCCCGTTGGGTGGGGACATGTTCTCCATGTTTTGGAAGGTGCCGTTGTATCGCGATGATTGTCGGGCGTTGGTTGTAGCGCCGGTCATGACGCCGTTGCCTGTCGCTTGCCGCGCAGGTGTGCTGTCAACTGTGTTGCGGCGCGAGCCGATTGCGCCAGGCGAAGCGTCCTGAGTCAACTCGACGACCAGCGTCGCATCGTTGGTGGCATTGCGCTTTCCGTCGAGGAGCTGACGCGCTTCTTTTGCGCCTTCGAGCGTCTGAAAGTGCGCAATGGCAGAGGCGAAACCCTTGTCGTCGGCATTCCTGGGTGGTGGGAGGATTTCGCAGTCGATGAGGTCTTTTGCGAATAGCAGAATGTTGCGCACGGCATCGCGATCGCTGCTGCTCGGAAGCCTGCGCAATAGAATAGAGTAACGCGCGTTGTTCGTGGGGCCCTTCTCGAGAGGCCTGCGCTCTCCGACGGCGCCCGGCATGGCGTACATGGATGGTGCGAATACGTCGGCCGTCATGGTGTTGTGCGATGCAAACGGCTTTGGCGGCGACGACGACGTGGAGCTGCTGTGAGAGCCGTGAGAGCCGTGGGGGAATGGGCTGTTGGACAAGTTCGAGGGGCTTGTGCTGCTGGGACTCGGGCGGGCGGCCATGTCGGCCTTTGTCTACCAGGCGTGTGGCAGAGACAAAGGACGCGGCAGCGACGGCAGCCTGGACGCGGGCGGCGCAAGAGAATTGCGCGTCGGCAGGTGTGAAGATGGCGGTGGTGGTGGTGAAGGTGGCGAGGGTAATAGCGAAGGCGGCAGCAGGACCAGGGCAGATGGACGGGCGTCGACAGCAGTGTTGATGGCAGGCCGCAGCGGTCGAGGGCGTGAGCGTGGGCGGGCGGCGGGCCTGGGCAATGCGCGCTGTCGGGGCTCTGGCACTGGGCCAATGGGCTTGAGGCAGGAACCGCAGCCAAATCTGGGTGCAATTGTGGCAGAAGCGAGCCTGGGAGACTACAGTAGCGGGCGATCTAGTATTTGCAAGCAGAGAGGGTGGGCATTAGGCAGACGCAGGCGATGATGGGGCGGCAGTGGGAGGGGAGGAGAAGCGGCAGAAGGGCGAGTGAAACCCCCCCGGCATAGCGTTGACGGGGCGCGACTGCCTCTAGGACGACGACTCTGATGATGAGCCCAGGGAAGGCGCGTCGGAGCTAATTTGATTACTGTGCGAGTCCTGGATTCGCCCGTCACACAGGTACCCCATTCCAACCACTCGACGCCGCGCTGCGCTACCCACAGCACTCGATTCCCATGGCAGCACGGCTGTCGTTGGGCTGCTTGCAGTCTCGTTGGCCCCTCGCGTCTTAGCGGCCGCGAGTATAACCAGGGCTGAGTTTAGCCTCTCCTCATCATCATCATCGCCGTGCGTTGGGCCCTATGGGAGAGATCGGCCCCAAGATGCAGCGCTTGATCCACGGAACTACGGTTCATGGACGGGCCCCTATCTGCGGGCCAACAACCTTGGAACGCTGGCACTGCTCCGACTGTGTGCTGAGCGCGTGAGCCCAACGCTATCCGACCCTCGACATCTGTCCACGATGCTTATCCGTGCCATCTGCTACATCAGGCAGAGACGCGCTGTCGGCTTTCTCTGCCAATCACCGTCTCTGAATCTGCACTCGGCATGCCGGTGCACATCTCGACCAAAAGCAAGTTCCATCAAATAGCGATCCTTTATCTTGACCCTTTATTCACGTTGCGGGGCTGCCCAAGGGGTCCGAAGAAACCCATCTCCCGTGCACTTGGGAAGTGGAAAGACACTGATTCGCTCATCACTCAGGCCATGTTCCATGCTTCTTTGCTTTGTTCGCCCAATCAGACGTCCGTCGTCCCGTCCATTTATGCGCTATCTTTCCGGTCAGAATGGCCACCCCTCACGACTAGGCCTTGTAACATGTATCAGAGAGCTATCGTCGCTCGAAAATTCCTTGCAGACATGCCCAAGGAGCTGGCGCTTCGGCGCTGACTGTCAGTGCGGTACGACGCAAGATAGACACCGCCGGTATGGCTGGAGTAGAGCACGTTGTGGGGATGTTCCGAGGTCTCGATCAACGCCTGACTAGTCAGATCTATCATGTACGCCACTTCCCCGAGATCGCTAAGACCGTTGCAGCGATTAGCCTGATTGACTGAGATCGCGCAACTTGGAGGTAGGCTACAGCTCTGAACGAGACTATCTTGCTGTCTCGTCGCATTATTTGGAGACACGCTAGAGTCGGTAATTGTAGTTTGTACCGCAGCGTTTCGCATTCGCCTAAGAACGGGTTGCCTCGTGGTAGGGTCCATGACCAATTAGAACGATGTAGGCTACGCCACGCCTGGCATACGTCACCCTGTTGCGGCCGTAAGTGGAACATTACCACCACATCGGCACAATCAAGTGATTGCTCTGGCGAAACAACACCATCAATCAAGAGAACCGAGCCAAAAGCGCTACTTCCTGCTGCAAGCACCCCAGAAAGACCATTCTTGCAACAACTACGTCAGATACTTGTTTGAATCAAGGCTGTACAGGAAAGAAGACTATAAAGGTAAGCAAAACACGATGAGAAATGAGCATCATCTCCTCGAAGCTTTATAATACGATTGGGCTTTTAACATCGCAAACCTTTTGACTACACACCGCTCACAATGTGTTGCAGAAAGAACCGCCAGCAACGTTTTGAACAACAACTGTTGTATTCGCCACCAAGACGAACCTGTTGTAAAGCACGTCTCGTACAGGCTCAGTCGAACACTATCGGCACGTATAGTTCATCTCAGCGGCCCACCATGGTATGATTACAAGGCACCAGTGGTGCTAGACAAACAACTGACGTGGTACAGGCTGGTCTCATCGCAGTCAGTATTGGCCTTGGTGCCGAGAAGCTGGGACGTACCATCTCCGAAAAAAGGCTCGAAAGAAAGGAGAAGAAGGCTATTGCTGTATGTTCCCTATCTGTATGAAATGCCATACTGCCAGCTAACCAGCTGTTGTAGCAACACGAAGCTATATATGGCTCTTCGTCATCTGCTCCACCGCCGCCAATGACGACCCGAGAGCGGCAAAATAAGACGCAGAACAAACGCGAAGAGGCTCAGCGGGCGCTTGATGAAGCTCGTCGAGAGCAACCAAGCGTTCCACAGTATGAAAGCAGACGCCCAAGTATGGATGCAGAGAGGGCTAGTACAGAAGAGCCGCCGCCGAGTTACGAAGATGCCACACGTCATGAAGTCAGGCGTTCTTGAGTCGTCAAATTGTGCGATTGGTCTAGTATGTGTGCGAGATCTCCGTGTAAACTATCGTAATGTTTCGAATGTCATTTTGTAATAGCCACTAGTTCCTGCGAAGAAAGTGTTCTTCGTTCGCCAAATGCGGTAGTCCACGAACGTTGGTACTGCACTTTCACTCGGCTCACGCGTACACCTGCTAGCCTGAACATTGGTCACTTTCGTCTGCTCATCGATCTTCGTCACGATGCAAACGCTCTGCGCACGGATATAATTCCGGCCAGCTCTTGCTCTCTCACTCCCACCCCGACTTCCATACAACTACATTTCATCACAATATAGTCCCTGAACCCATCAGAGACAGCTAGGAAACCGCAAGATATGACTCCCTGGACTTCCTCCAACAAAGGCGCTGCTGCGCACGACCGAATTGAAGCGCCGGTCACAGTACGAGGTTACCTCATGTGCGTCTTCGCCGCGTTTGGTGGTATCCTTTTCGGCTATGACTCGGGCTACATCAATGGCGTGTTAGGCATGGACTACTTCAAGCAGCAGTTTGGAGGTAAACTCGGCCTCACGCAGACTCTCGTGCTTTAATATTAACGTCACCACTAGGACCTTCCGCCAGTGAGGAAGCTTACAACGGCCACCTTTACAAAACATGGGAGAAGTCTCTCATCGTCTCTATTCTCTCTGCTGGTACTTTCTTTGGAGCTCTTACCGCGGGGTCCATAGCGGACTGGATCGGCCGTCGCGCCACTATCATCACTGGGTGCGCCATCTTCTCGCTTGGTGTCGTCTTACAGGTGGCTGCTTCCAGCGTAGGCGTCCTAATTCCGGGTCGTCTGATCCCAGGTTTTGGAATTCGGTTTGTCTCCGCTGTCATCATTCTATATATGTCTGAGGTTGCACCCAAGCGCTTTCGTGGAGCCATCGTATCAGGATATCAGTTCTGCATCACTATCGGCCTGCTCCTAGCATCGGTGGTTGATAACGGAACCAAAGACCGTATGGACTCCAGTGCGTATCGTATCCCCATTGGGTTGCAGTGGCTATTTGCGACTGTCCTCGGCGTTGGCCTCTTCTTACTACCTGAGTCGCCCCGTTGGTATGTCAAGAAAGGTCGTCATGAGGCTGGGGCTCGTGCTCTTGGTACCCTACGTGGGCAGGCTGCCAACTCGGACTATGTCCGGGATGAGCTCCACGAGCTCATCGCTAATCATGAATACGAGAAGCATATGCAAGCGGGCTGGGCTGATTGCTTTCGTGGTGGATGGAAGCCATCTAGCAATCTCCGCCATGTAGTCCTCGGAATGGCACTTCAAATGATGCAGCAGTGGACTGGTGTGAATTTTGGTAAGTGACTTACACATCCACAAGCATACTTTTCCAGCACTAACTTATCGCAAAAGTCTTCTACTACGGCTCTACTTTCTTCAAGACAGTCGGCATACAGAATGCCTTCCTGGTTTCTATGATCACGACCGCCGTCAATGTTGGCTCCACACCCATCTCATTTTGGACGATCGAAAAGTTCGGCCGGCGCGCGCTCCTGATCTACGGCGCTGTCGGTATGCTCGTCTGCGAATTCATTATCGCCATTGTCGGTACCGTTGACGAAGGCAGCAAGGCAGCCGGGTTGTGCCTCATTGTCTTTACCTGCATCTACATCTTCTTCTTTGCATCGACCTGGGGTCCAGGTGCTTGGGTTCTAATCGGCGAGATCTTTCCTCTCCCCATACGTGCCAAGGGCGTCGCTCTCTCAACAGCCAGCAATGTAAGTAACGCAGATCCCCTAACAATTACGAATTGGTTGCTAACTTAGCAGTGGTTCTGGAACTTTGTCATCGGCTTCATCACCCCCTATATGGTTGACGAGACCTACGGGAATATGAAGGCTAAAGTTTTCTTCGTTTGGGGTGCTACATGCACTGTCTGCGTTCTCTTTGCGTACTTCTTGGTGCTTGAGACTAAGGGTTTATCCCTCGAGCAAGTCGATCGCATGCTTGAGGAGACGACCCCACGCACGTCGAAGAAATGGGTTCCACATAGCCTGTTTGAGGACCGCGCTGGTGTATCCTCGCTAGACACGGCGGAGAAGATGAACAGTCGCGAGCCGATTGCGCATCGCGAACATCCCGATATTTAAGCTGATGCTGTTGGCTTATCCTATGTAAAGGTATAATCACTTTCGTGCCTTCGCATAGCCATCTTTGCTTCTTTCGGTAGGAGCCCTTCGGCTGCTAGTATGGTAGAAGGTTGACCAAGCATTGTGGCCGATGGCATCGCATGGCTTGCGGTATGGATGCTACAGGTTTGAAGCTTCACCTTGATGCTATTCATTGTGTCTTATCTAGAGCGCATTACCTAGACGGAAGAAGCATTAGTAATGATGGAATAGTTCTCCTGCTGTATTGTTTCGTCTTTCGTTATCACGTAGCTTTGCAATTCGGATGTCGGATGAGTGATAAGATCTGACCGGGACCCCACATGCGGAATTCATGCGCGCCACAATGCGCGGCTGACTGATGGATTGAAAATCCCCGGCAAATACAACTCCCGCACACCGTATCCACTCAAGGAATACGTGCAAACAATTCCAAGGACTGCAAACTCACCATGATTAAGCCATCTCGGTGTTCGCAACTTGCTGGTATTTCCGACGTTGTCATCACGTCATCGTCATGGCTGTCCTTGCCCCACGCTCTGTATTGATGGGTCTCGTAACGGGCCTATTTCTTGCCTGGTTGATGCAGCAGATGGTGCCTGTATTCCACTTGCCGGCCATCCAGAATCACGACACGTTTCCAACGTCTACGACACTATCCCTATCCGAGTCGATGGCGCAAGTAGTAAAAAATAGCCTCCGCGCTGCTAGGCATCGTGCGTGGGTCGGTGGTGGGTACAAAAGCACATCGTCGCTACGTGCCCCAACTCCAATTCCAACGCCTGCCTTTCACAACTCTGCAACTTTCTCAACCACACCACACATCATGTCTTCCCAAAAGCCTTTCATGGACGCTGTCAAGGAGCGTCGCACCTACTACCAGCTCAACAAGGAGTCACCCATCTCCGACAAGCAGATCGCCGAGATCGCTGGGAAGGCTCTCCTCCACGTCCCTTCATCCTTCAACTCACAGAGCACCCGTCTGGTTGTGCTCCTCAACAAGGACCATGAAAAGTTCTGGGACTTCGTCCTTGAGGTCTTGAAGCCTCTTACTCCTGAGGACCAGTTCCCCAAGACCGAGCAAAAGGTCAAAGGATTCGGAGCTGCTAAGGGAACCGTAAGTGCACACCTTGTGTTTGTCGGGCGCCATCTAAAACATATTTGCAGATTCTGTGCTACGAGGACCCTGAACCCGTCGAGGGCCTCCGCAAAGCTTTCCGTGAGTAACCCCGAGCACGTTTTCCCAGCTCATGCTTACATTCATCGCAGCTCTTTACGCCCACCACTTCGGTGACTGGTCTGAACACACCAACGCCATGCACCAGTACGCTCTTTGGGTAGCTCTAGAGGCTGAGGGTTTCGGTGCCAACCTCCAGCACTACAACCCCATCATCGACCAGAAGGCCGCACAGGAGTGGGACATCCCTCTTGGATGGAAGCTCAGGGGCCAGTTGGTCTTTGGTGGACGTGCGGGCGAGCCTGGCGAGAAGCAGTTCCAGGAGGTGCAAGGCAAGAGGCTGTTTGTACACGGAGCGCAGTAGACGTGTGTTATATAGATAGAATAATTCAGTAGAAGAATTTCGCATGCAATCGATACACGGAGCTTGGAACGCGTAGATCCAACACGTTGAAAGTGATGTCAGACGCGAAACTAATGCGTCGTCAGCACGTGTGCACGAGCCTGGCGCTAGTCCGCCCCTCTACCAGCAGGATCTACCAACTTCCACGGTTCAGACGCTCTTTCATTTTTCAAGATCACATTGGTCTCATCTTCGATTGCAGCGCACTGTGTACATGTCTTTCCGCACAGCTCCGAATGGTTTTCCTCGCTCTTTCGGTCATGCGTAGCTTCTTACAACTTTGTGTGCTAATGTTCAACCCATTTCCTCTCATGACTAAATCGCTATCTCTGTTATATCAAACTCTCAAAGTATTCTGGAACGGTGACTGTGGGATAAAGTTCATAGATGCAGCCATTTCTTTGTACTTCACTTTCCAGTTCAATAAAGGCACGCAAAATGACTTCGCATACAGCATACAGGATGGACGATAAGCTTGGCGCTATATTACCAGTCGTCACTCCTTCTTTATGGTTTGCTTCTCCTCATTGTCGCCGTCGTACATTCTCTAATGTCAAGAACTGACGAGCAGCTTCGAATTGGCACCAGAAACAACTGCCGTAGCGACTCTTTCACTACTCAACATAAAGAGTCAGTCGCGCTCCTCGCGCGTCCCTTTTCTTGTACACCTTGTTAGCGCCCCGTTCAGATACTCCGCGCTGTTTACACCCACAGAAGCTGCCATTCGTTACTCCATTATTGCTGTTTCGCACGTAGTGTCTTGACATTCTTGAGAACTCATTCACAACTAGAGACTCCGCAAAGATTGAAAACTCCGCCTACGATATGACCCCTCCGAATGCTCGCGTGGTGCGTCTGACCAACGTACCCTATGACGTGGTTGAGGAAGACATCCGCCAGCTCTTCGGAAGCTGCGTTGTCGTCGACCAGATTCGCACCATCGATCCACAAGTGGGGACAAGCTCCAACGTCTACGTTCTGTTCTCGACTGTCCAGGACAGCAACGCTGTTGTTGAGAGGTATGGGGACCTCTACGTTGATGATCATCGCGTCACCACAATGCTTGCGCCTACCGGTAACTATAGCTGTAAGCTCGATATCTGGTCAACCCCTTCGCCAGTGCTTTGCTAACCTATTGATGTAGTCAACGCCAGTCAGGACAGTTTCGCCCGGCCTAGGGATACTGACACTGCTTCCGCCGCAGCCGAATCGCTCTCTACAGCCCTGAATCGCACGATTTCGAATATTCTAGCTCTCGGTATCACACGCGAAAAAGGAGCACGCCTCCAACAAGAGCAACAAGAAAGCATTCGAGAAGAACGCTCTCGCGCGGATTACATCAATGAGCAGGTTATTCGTCTAGTTCTCATGAAGCGCATGATGGCCTCTCTACCACGTTATAAAGACCAAGATCGGCGGAAGCAGCCTCCAGGCCGAGCCTCCATCAAGCATCTTGTCCCTGCTCCTGATCTTCGGAACAGGCAAGACCCACGAAGCCGCGTGCTGTTGATCACAGATCTGCCGACTGAGGCCGACAATGATGCTGTCATGACATTTCTCCAAGAGTATCGTCCCGAGTCGATTGATCGAACCCAAATTGGAGGTAATTGGATGGTTTCTGCGCTTGTTCTCATGCAAACTACTAAGGGCCGTGATTGGGCTGTTAAGAATTTGAATGGCGAGATGATCCAGGGACAGAGGGTAACCGTGCAAACCTTCAGCAATCTGACCCAAGGTAAGTCAAGACAACTTTGAGTACCTCGAAGATCACAGACGCGTTTGTTCTTGTCGGACTTGTCAGCTACAGTCATGATTGATATAGTCTAGGTTTACTAACGCTAAGTAGACGTTCTCGATCGTATCATGAATCCAGAAGCTTCTGTGCCAGATGCCAACGCCAACTCTCCGAGGCGATCTAGAATCGCCAGATCGACAGTTCCTCCAGCTGCGAAGGCTCCGTACGTGCCTTTCGGGACTCCACCTGCTCAAGTACCGGTTGGCTCAGCCCCATCAACTTCATACTTACCGTTCGGATCTTCAAATCCTCTTCCAGCCGCTTCCGCTGCGCCAAAGCCTTCGGCCATAGCATCCATTCTCGGAGACAAGACTCTGAATCAGGAATCACCTCAAGCACCCTCTGACCGGACTCATGAAGATATCCGGGGCCGACGAAACCAGATTGCGGCTGGCGACTAGAGCATAGTTGTGGCTTCTCAGAACCGCAGGAATAACTTGGATCATGTCACTCGCGAGCGTGCTGAAGAACAGGATGCGGCCGCTGATCAGGTAAGCCCTGAAGATGCTCGCAGTCGTAGTCATAGCTCTCAGAACCGTGGTCGCGGTCGAGGTGATGGTCAAGGAGACCATAGCCGTGGCCGTAGTCGTGGAAATCGTCCGGGTGGGTTTGGTGGCTTGTCGCGCGATGAGGCACTTCAATGAGGTGATAGTGTCACTGCACTTCTCCCATGCTGGTTCCGCTTTCTAGAAGTCTGGGAGTAGGACTTAGCTTTTAGGAATCTTGTCGTTTTGCAAGAGTTAGGCGTTAGTTGTGGATTAGATAACATCTTTTGCTATGGTCAGCACTCAGAATGCTCGCACAGCGAATACTCATGTGCTTCTGTTCTTCTTCTTCTTTTTCCTTTTCCTGGACGGTCGCGTACACGCAGGGAAATTGAGAATAGATCGAGCAAAGTACTCATTCAATAGGATTATGCAGATGTTGAACTTTCGCTATTGAAGCGATGAAAGCATGAGGGACATCGATGTCAAAGGCAAAAAGATAGTCTATTGCATGCTAAATCATGATCGCGATCGGTATGGCTATAAGAAGAAACAGGGGTATTCAAGCAAACTAACATCCACCTCCGATGGACAGGAGTATCATCATCCTTCACCAATGTGTGCGCTTAACCAAAGTGGGGAGCGTTGAGCACAATGGCGCAGGAGACACCACCAATGGTACCAGCGATGGGAATTGTCATGATCCAGGAGAAGACCAAGAGACCAACTCGTTGCCAGTTGACCGCCTTAAGAGTACCGTTGCAAAGACCGACACCAACGGTGGCACCAGTAATGCACATGGATGTGGAGACGGGCAGCGAGTATTGCGAAAAGATGAGGACAGTAAGAGCGGCACCCATCTCCATGGAGCAACCTCTGCTGGGAGAGTGGTAGGTGATCTTGTTACCCATGACCTTCATGATGTTGTAGCCGTAGGTGATGAGACCGAGAGAAAGAGTAGCGGAGAGGACAGCGAGTTGCCAGACGGGGACGGGGGCCTTGGATGAAGCGGCCTTGCCAGTGTTCCAGGCACCGTAGATGACAGCCCAGGGACCGACAGCGTTACCGATATCGTTGGCACCGTGAGCGAATGAGGCAGTGCAGGCAGTGAGAACTTGGACGAAAGAGTAGGTGTGCTCGACCTCGTTGGAGTACTTCTTAGCGTGGCTGTAGACGCGCTCCATGCGGCGACCTTCGGGAGTACCGTGGATACCAGTCTGGGCGGCGTGAATATCGTAGTTGACACCGTAGAGAGCACCGACGGTGATCATAGCGGGGATGCGCTTGAGGGTGATGAGCATGTTCTTCTTCTCATAGATTTCACCAGTCTGGATCTTGTTCTCATGAAGGTATCGCATAGCCCAGCCAAGAGGTCCGCGCTTTTGCCTGAGCTTAGCGTGAAAGCGTTCCTGACCTTGCTCAACGAGCTGCTTGTAGCTGAGTTGTTGGTGCTCGGCAACATCGGCACTGATGGCGCCCTTCTCACCGTCGTGGCCAATGACACCAACTTCAGAGTCGCTGCCGTGCTCAGGCTTCTTCATCTCTTCGTCTTCCTGTACGACGGCGTAGTCGGGGACAACAGCAGCCTCAGCACCTTCGGGGGTAGGACGCTTGAAGAGAAGGGGGCCTTGGAAAACGTGGTACCAGCGAACGGTGTGGTCACGCTTGACAACCTTGGTGTATAGGTAAGGAACGAAGAAGAGGAAGGACAGGGCAGCGAGACCGACACCGCAAGACATGGTGACGGTCGCGACAAACCACGCTGGCTTCTTGTTCAGACCGAGGTTGGGCGATCCCTTATAGACGATGGAGAGCGTGCAAATGGTTCCGGCGATGAGGAAGAAGAAGGGGGCGGTCCAAATGGCCCAAGGGATGGGGTTCTTGCGGACGTGTACAGTCATCTTGATCAACATGAAGATGATGGCACCGAAGCAGGCAGAGGCAGCGGGAGCCATTCCAAGACCAGCGAAGATGGCACCAAGACCCTTGCCCTTGTTCCAGCCCCATTGTACGTTGGCAGCACCGGCAACAGCGACACCGACACCAGCGACGGAAGAGATGAGCGAGTATGAGGACGAGACGTGAGCAGAGTGCTTGGTGCACCACATGACCCACATGGATGCACCAGCCAGAGCACAGGTGAAGGCGAGCATTTGAACACCAGCATCGCCCTTGAAGGCAGTAGGAGGAATGATACCGTTCTTGATGGTTTCGGCGGTACGGGCACCAACGGTAATGGCACCAACCATCTCGAAGATGGTACCGAGAATCATGGCCTGGCGGTAGGAAACCGAGCGGGAAGAGACTGAAGTAGCCCATGCGTTGGCAACATCGTCTGGGTAGTGTTAGTATGAGGACAAGGTAGTGGTAGCAGTCTGTACATACTAGCACCGTTGTTGTAGGCATCGAGCATGGCAAAGAATGTGCCGATGGCGAAAACATAGTTGTACTGTGTAAGACGTGCCATCTTGACTGATGCTCTAGGGGCTCAGTAGGCTCAGTAAGAAAGAGTGATGGTCCGAAGCTGGAGCTGGGATGCTGAAATCAAGGGAGGGCGTCTGTGAGACGTGTATATATATTGATACAGGCCCTTTGCGCAGCCCTTTGCAGCGGATTAGGCCCGTATTGGCGTCAAAGCCTTTCACATCTGCGACAGGATCCAGACCGGTGGGTGACATCCGACAGCCTGCATCTCCAGCTAAAATGCAGCCACCACTCAGAGGCCGCAACGTGAGAAGTCCTGCCAAGAGAACGTGTGCTCGAAATGAAGTTGTGATTGGATAGGCAGAGGGAGGAAGGCGGATTCTTTGCCAAGGCCATCAGGATCTCCCCACTAGCGTACTCAAGCAACTTGGTGATGGATGGCGGAGCTTAGCGCTACTGGTGCCCGACCTCTCTAAGAAGATATCAAGCCGATGCCGACAATTGCTATGTTTCTTGGCCTCACCTTGGCATTCCTCGTGGCGCTGGGGCGTGGAGTAGTCGTGTGTGGGATGGTCGGCCAATAGGATCATCGCACGCCTGAACGTGGGTAACTTCAACGGTTGTCAGACGTCGATATCCACCTACGAGCTGAACCAGTTCTTCCCACTGCTCCGGGTTCTGACCTTTCTCCCACGCCTGTTATTTGCTCGTGCATTGATACACCTTCCAGAACAGTACACGAAAGCTGACGGACAGGCCTAGAGATTTGAAAGAAACGACCTTGGCACTTCTAGGATGCAAGCCAAACCAAATTAACGCCAGTGGATCTCTGCGACTGATATCGCGAGTTGTGGATGTCGTCTAGTGGGACCAACTCCTTCGCGATTTCCGAGCACACACTTCGCGAAGGCCGAGGTCGCCATTCTGACCAACAGTGAGCCTGTATCAAGACACCTGCTCTCAAAGAATGATGCAAATGTAGCTCAATGGTGTTGTGAGGACCAGAGGTTGTTGGGTTTCGATCTGCAAGGGAAATGGTGCCACCTTACGATGTTGGTGACCGACGGATATCTGTGGCTATAAGCGACTTCCACATGTAAACACCTAAGTACAAGCTCTGGTACGATTGCCGGTTGTTTGGTACAGTTAGTCCTGCACAGTGAGCAGTTGAAGACCTTGGGATGATGTCCCCAGAGCCGTTTCCACCTTGCGGGCCAACCTCATTGCATGAGCGGGTATGCCTTGGTGGTACGATCCACAAGTTGGGTTCCGCGTACTAGCATAGCTGGTCTCTTGGCCCACCAGTCGCGATAAGGTAACACCTCCTTGTCGTGTTCGTCAATGGCATAGACGATCTCATGCTTGCCGTGAGACTATCAGCAAGTTCGGTCCCTTGGCATATGTACATGGATGATCCAGCGGGAAGTATTCGGAGAAGCAGTGCGCGGTAGCTGTGAATGACTTTGCCGCTGGAAATATCTGATTATGGTGACGACGCATCAGCGATCAGAAGGATGTCTCGGTGGTTCCGCCGGCCAGATTGGTCCCAGAGCAATCGCCACGACAACGTATGAGGCATGAATGGCCGGAAATGCTGTCTTGACAGCACCAAGCATGTCTGCTGTGAACTCGTAAGCAAGATGGGGTAGTGTTCTTCGTCAATGTAATCGAAACACGTGCAACGCAATAGCGATACTCAACACCCAATCACTAGGCATAAGCAGATCCGACTCTTAGTTTCATAGGGTTGAGCCGTTTGAAAGAAGGCACGAGCGAGAGTGCCATGTTGGTGAGCGACGACCACGATCCCGGAATTGAAATCTCGAGTTACTCTAGACCACCCGGGCGGTGCATACATTTGAGCCGCCCATAGGCTAAGGATGCGTTTACAGCGTTCTCAAGAGGCTGCATAGGAAGCGCTGCACGTCAAGAGCGCAGTGTGAGTGATGCAACCTTTCGGTCTCGTGAAATCCCTTCTCTCCAAATCCGATAATGGCGCTAGTCCGGATAGGTACATCGCCACCACGACGAAGAAGGCCCGAAAGACAACTGTATCAACAACAGCGTTTAGGTCGTAACTTGCGGTGTTCAGCGATGAATGTATTCCACAGCAGGAGAGCGCGTTTGAAAGATGTGAGATGTTGTCAGTTTAAGCTCGTGGATCCCCCTTTGCCTATCATCCCACATGACGAGCCGCCAGTGTGCCGGCTTCCGTCTTCGCCCTGTACACACCGCATCAGGTTGACCAAAGAAGTAACATGTCAGGTACACATCTACCACCGTCCAGGATGAGTGCTAAGCTTTCCTGCTGAGCTTTGAAATGCTTCTAGGATTTGACGGTGGCCTGACACACATAATTCCGTTGAGTTCTAATGATAGATTGGGAAGTCTCAGTCCGTTTCTAGATCCTCCCCACCATGTCTTTCTCAATCGTCGCATGCTGCTTATCATCTCCAATTACCTCCCTTGGTGTCAATAGAAGTGGTCAATCTACGAAGTGGCAAGAATATAAGTCAGGCTCGGTAGGCCATGACGTCCCGTTCGCAATGCAGGTCATGACCAGCAACGAGAAACTCGCCCTGAAACATTAAAATTAATCGCATACATTAGATATGATACATGACCCTTCGCCGTTTTTTCGCTACCATAACGCCATACCAACCCTATCCCACTTATTACTGATACCCGACACCCACTTCGCCTGGGAAGCTTGCCCAAAAGTCTTGTGTCGCATTTATCATCATGGCCTCCAGTTCCTCGTTTGTCAGGTCGAACGAGTCAAGGTTGAAAGTTTCGTCAGCTTCCAACGGGGGCACCGCTGGAGGGGTGTTCCATGAGAAGTTGGAAGTGTAGCTATTAGGCGTGGGCGCTGTGGCTGGCAACGGGCTTGTGACGGGCGGATTGGTGAGGTTGACGATCATGGGTTTGCGCTTGCAGTGTGTTAGCAGAGTCTCATGAATGCGGCATTGGGGACTTACGTCGTTGTGTTGTTGTGAAGGGGACCTGCTGGACATGATGACATCTCTTGGTGAGCCTGCTGGTTTTTGTACAGGTGAAGGCTGTAACGCGCCATAATCTATCATGGCATGTCGCAATGCCTGTCGTTCTTCAGGTGATGCCGGCCCGTCCTGACCAAGTACAGAGCGATAGTACGCTTGCATGCGTCGGATGGTATCGTACTGGGATTGTCAGCATGTTTCATCTCGATCTTTCGTAGTCACTCACCCAAGTTTCTGCCATAGGCCACTGTGTCTTCATCTCTCTCAGAAAGTTGCAGCCCTGTATCACGCTCTTACGCGCCTTTTCCCGCCAGCGAGGATCGTCGTCGCCGCTCGGGAAGTTGAAACTGTACAGCATTGCGCCGACTGCCGTGTAAATGGTGAAGCCGATCCATGGCACCAAGCCCCTCAGGAAATACACACCGAACGTGCGCATCTCCTCTAGCATGTCCAGGACCATGACTGAGTCTTTGAACAGCTCCTTGCGTGAAGTCTTCTCCCACTTCCTCCACATGTCCCGGTGCTCATCGTAGGAATTTGGTGTCTCCTCAGGATTCGCTCCATTTTGCTGAGGGCCAAGGACTGGTAAATAAGCGCGATGCAGGAACATGTAACTCATGAAGTGTATGCAGTGCATGTAGCAGTACGCTTGACCCTGTTCGACAGCATTATGACTATGCAAAGTGAAGAGGTCGTACTGCAAGCGCTGAGGAAGCGAGGCCTTCCAGCCCTCAAGCTCGTAGATGAGCTGCTGGAATTGTGAAGAGGATGCCCATGGCAGTTCGCTCTTGAGTTCATCAGAGCAAGCCCAACGCGCGACTTTACCCCAGATGTTAGCAGCACGCATGCTATAGCCGATGATGCCAAGCTCTCCCAAGGGCAATGCCACTGGCGGCATACGCTGTGTATTATCCAGCTGAGGCGTGCATACTGGCTCTCCAAAGACAAAGTCCTCGCGCTCGCAGGGTAGTTGAATCTTCATGTCTGCCGCAGTCAATGACCTCTTGCGTCCCTTACCGCCACTGAGCAGGGAGTCCATCAAAAAGCACGTCCAGGCAGTCCGTCGGCGCACTTCAGCCTCGATAAACTCCTCACGTGTTGGCACGCGATTTCGCGGTATACCAGTCTCACGCGTCAGGTCCATAACCTCGACCAGGCGTATCGCCATGCCTAGATATATCCACGCCCTTCTTCCATTTCCGGCTCCCCAGTCGTGGCCTGTCAACATCAACAAGGCCTGCACGCGACTGATGGAGGGTGTCTCAAGGTCTTGTTGCAAGATCTGGCGAGCGTGGGCAGCATACGCATTGCTGGCCTCAGTCTGCGACCTGAAGGGCGACGGCGGGCTCTGGACGAATCTAAGCCATGTCAGCTTGGCGATTGCGTGTTTGATGATGAAGGCCATAGCATACCTGATGGCCAGCGCAAGTATCGCCCAGGCCATCCATGGCTCCAAGGTGCGATCGCGTATCCTGCGCAGCAAGGTCGGCGTGTGGTGGAAACTCCATTTGTAACTGCATCGTAGGTAGCTATTCTTGACCTCGTCTGTCAGGAGCTCGAATGGATCTAGGCCGTCGAGTAGTGACGATGCCGTATTCGGCGACGCCTGCTGTGCGGCATTGTTGCCGTTCGGCAGATGTGCGTCATTGCGGCCCTGATGGGGCGCTACAACCGTCGTACTCGAGTTATTCGATGTCGGCGTCTCTCCTGCATCTTCGGATGGCCGTGGTCGCTTAGGCTTGCGGTGTATCGCACTCGTTCCCGGTGCTATCACAGCCGTCAACAAGCCGCTGTAGGGGATGGCAGAAGCTCCACGCACCTGGAAATTCGCAGCGGTCCGCGCGTCCGCTCTGCTTGCACCTGTCGCATGGCGGCCTATCTTCGTGAATGCACTTTTGCTTAGCTGACCGACAAGAAACACACGCGACAGGATTGCGCATTGTCGCGATGCATGTGTACAAACATCGACTGAAGAATGAGCGACCCTGCCTCAGTCGCCCTTGCCGTCGCGGTCAGCTCTCCGCATCCCGTGCCTGCCATTTCGCGCTAGACCAGCATCGCCAAGCTATCCGAATACCATGACCATGTCTCTTTCCAAACTCTGTCACTCTTCATCGTAAGCTCATCCGGGCCGTCTCTTTGCTCACCATTCTTACCATCTGCTTGTTCTCTCCTTTTCTTCCATTTCATTTCACTGTGTTCAGCTGTCTTGAGAGCATAGGTATGCCTTGTTGCCCCAACGCCTATCGTGACGAAACCACAGAAAAAGAAACGAGACCCGGGAATAAGGGAATAACCCGCATCAGGCTGTTGCAGCCGCTTCATGGAAATAGCCGTGCTATGCAACACCTATGAGATAGACATGCGGGCCGCACTACTGAGGTGTAGCCAGGAAATCTATTTCTCTGCGGCTCGATATCTTTCAGGTTGCTATATCTTGTTTATTTTTCACCACCTTGAACAACTCAAAGTCTGCTCATCTGCTTTTCCTATGACCAGAATTCAAAAATTACCTTACGTATTTTCCTGTGCCATACTGTTTGAGCTTCACCACGATGGGCTGTACGTACAGCACAGCCGTCACTAATCTTGCTGCTTCGGTGTATGATGACTTGGGCTAGAGCATCTGCCTTATGGACACTGTAAGACAATATGAATCGCTGGTACCTCCCGTTGATCTGTTGTTCTCGGTTGCCCCTTGTCATTGTCTTTCAACCTGCGTCTTTATCTCGACATCATCCACATTCACTTTGCACAGACCCAACACCACGCGCAGATACTGATCAGCCTTTCCCTCTATACGCGAAAACTCTTCAGAACACTCACTCGACTCCTAAATGTGGCCTAGCGACTTATCAAATAGCTCATACTCAGACACCCCGCCACTACATACCTGATACTTTCTATCGATCATCTCCACCCCCCAGACTAGGTCTTCATGTATCTTTGCACGCAAGATATTCATCAATCGCGGAACGACACAATCGGATACATCCAGCTACTCCCTCCCGACTATCGTAATGGCTCACTTCCACACTGCCAATCGCGCCAGCTACCAGACCTACGCTCGTCCCCTAGCTGGTGGAAAGAGGAAGCGAATATCCACGAGTAACGATATAGAACCCGTAAGTTACTACCAAGTACATCTTCTTCTACTTTCTCTTGTACTGATGCCGATGCTTAGGCTGAGAGCGATGTGACTTCCTCACCAGCGCGCTCAATGAAGAGCCGCGACAATAAGGACAAATACAACCCCAAGGTAGATCTGTCAATATGACTTCCCCTTTTATCTCTAACATCTACCAGTACATGGCAGAGATGTGCTTCAGCGCGTACAAGGTGCGCTTACATGAGGCTGGCCTTCAACAATATACAATCGACGTTGCGAACGACTGGCGAGAGGATTTGGTCGAGATGTTCAGTCACGCCGCGTTGAGAGGAGCCATCAAGCAAGATGCAGTAGCCCGTCACATGGTTCCTCGTCTTGTACTGCTTCTCCCACGAAACAACGAAGAGAAAAAAGAGCTTGTCAAGGATTTCGCGAAACACTACGAGGACGTACGACACGACATGATGGTCATCAGCAAGACCATGCTCAGTGGAGACGAGGACTCCATTGCTGAGGTCCGCGAGTGTCTTTATGGTTTACACAAGACTCTCGCTGAAGGAGCAAGATGGCGCAAGATCTTGCCGTACCTACCACTACCGCTGCCACTGCACCGCCTCCGGGCTCTCCGCAATCTGATAGAGTACTCACGACCTTACCAGTTCCTCCGCCATCTCGTCACCGAAATTGACGACATTGAGGGTTGGCTTACCTTTTTTCCCACAGGCCTTAACACCTCGATTTTTCCGACTGGACTTGTCAACGCAGTGAAAGGAACTCTGCAGCAAGTAACCGAGGATCAAATTGTAAAGACCAGCATCGGTCCTAACGCACAGGAAATGGCAGAGTACCGAGAGCAAAAGGCCAAACGACAGCATCTAGAGAAGAAGGAACAAGCTCGTCAGCAGGAACAAACCTACGCTGATAAGCTACAAAAGATCGAAGCCGAGCAGATACAGATGAAGAAAGACATTAAATCGCTCGAGCTGGCCGTCACGAAGGAACGTGCTCAGGAAATTGCGAAGAAACATTCAGAGGCCGCAGCTCTAGCGAAGCGCGAGAAATCGTATTAGGACCAAATCTCACTCAACACGATTGAAATAAAAAGACTAAACGCCGAACTAGACAATCTAGCTGGCGGTCAGGCACAGAAGATACAGCCGAAAGTGACCTCGACACCATTGTCGCCAATCGATTCTGTGCAGCTCAGCACGTCAATGGGCTCGTCGTTCAGTAGTAATCAGACCGCCAACAGTAGTATTTACCAGCCCCAGAGCTCACTGGGCACATCCTTTGGCAGCTCTTTCGCCCAGCCGGGGTCTTTTGAACAAACTTTACATCAGCGTGCACCAGAAGACGACGGCGTACCAATGGAAGACGTCCGAGGAATTGGCCCATCACAGCAACACCCGACAAAATCCGATCAGGTCGGCTTTCCTGAAGCACGCATCGCAGGGCAGCCGAATACCTTCGGCGCTCATATCAGCAGTGGTGCCCCCTCACAGTTGCTTGGGTTGTCAAATAGCAATTTCAAGTCGGCTTGCCCAGCGTACAAGAACGGACATTGCCCAGCGGGCAAAAGCTGCATGATGCCTCACAGTGCATGCAAGTTCTGGCTGAAAGGCAATTGTAGATATGGTGGGAATTGCATCCGCAGCCACGATCCTTTCTTTCTGACAGATGCTACATCACGGGGTCAGCAGCGACAGTCTTCACAAGTTGACCAGATGATCGTCGATTCTGACCCTACTCCACGATCCAGCGCTTTCTCCCAGGAAAATCCGTTTCAACGCGGACGGCAGAGTCGGGCCCAGGCCTCTCAAGCTAGCAACATCATGAGCCTACCCGATCACCAAGCCTTACCAACCGGTCCTCATGAACGCCCTTTGATCATGGGTAGGATTGCAAAAGACGGCCAACCCATCTTATCGTATGGGTCCAACATTGTTTCCATCAAGGATGGCAACACCAATCGTCAGCAAGGTATCCTATCTGATGCAATTCAGGGACCTCGCGCTACTGTTGGATCGAAGAAAGTTGCGTGTAAAAATAATCTCAAGGGCAGATGCAACAAGGGTCTCAGCTGCCAGTACGCTCATGAGCCATGTCCGCGCTTCATGAAGGGCACTTGTTTTGCTGATGATCAGTGTAGGAGGAGTCATGATACTCTCTTTCTTCGTCAAGGTTCTTCCAGCAACAGTGCACAGCAGTCTTCAAAGTCACCCACTGGGCAGCAGCCTTCCCGAACCCGGATCGAACAGTCACTCGACGAGATCCTTCAGGCAAAAGGAGGAGATAGGAAAGAGAAATATGGAAAGCCTTTTCAAGTACAATCGCCCATTCGAAACCAACGTCCTCAAGATCGTCTTGAGCAATCTCTCGATGACATAATCAAGACGGCCGGACGAAGTAGAGAGAACCAGGCAAGACTGCCTCAATCGGAAACTCCATGTAGATGGGAGAAGACCCAAGGCGGTTGTACGAATGGCAGCTGTCCATACAAACACGATTCACGAAAGACGTCCGACCCGAAAGCTTCACGAGGCACGTTTGGTATACCCAACCTTTTCAGCTCGATTGGAAGTATACTTCGTGGTAACAGACAATAAGAACTGCGTGGGAGCCAGCAAGCTTCCATTGAGGGGCTGCTCGTCGGGAGGTCGGGGAGGTACATGATCCTGCAGCATACTGCAGGCTTTTCCAATAGCACCAGGATGCTATTTCTGGAATGCTACGTCATATTGCTAGTATTCGGTAGTCGTCTCTTTACTGTTGTTTGTCTCCATCAAGCGCGTTTTGTATTTCGAGCTGCGGAACAGTGCTCACGTGATTGGAGATGCCATTTTGATTGCGAAAGTCAACTGATCGGAAATTTGTCTGAGCTTGTTCCTCTTAACGTTTGTGGCGTTGATAGTGCTTTCCACGTCGCGCCTGACGTGACGTGTCTCAAGCCCCACTTGCCCTTCGTCATCACTCCAGCCCCCTCGCCGCCGATTTTCCTCAATTGTGCAGCATCTTATCGCACGGACAGCGTTACATTCACATGAAGAAAATCGTGTTTCCTGCGTCTCATGGGCTCTCAGATTTCCCATGGCTTCGTACGCACGTTGAGACCTTTCTCAATAAAGCAGTATCGACCAGCAGCAGTGAACAAGCACTATGGGCAACAACGCGGAGCTCTGACTTGCGAAGACTACCCAAGCAAATATACTCAGAGCCGCCAGGCGGACCTAGCCTCTCGCTGGTGTATAAATCGAGTTCCTATCTTTGTCCAAACTCTACAGTGGTCTCATATACTTTTACAATTCCACAAGCATCCTTTCTACTTCACATCCAGCATGCAGTTCTACCGGTCGAGCAACCTGAAACACGTCTCAAGTATCTGACGGAAGAACGTTCGCCTCCGGTACGACCTGTGTTACAATAAAAGCGATGTCACACTGTTCTGAAGCTGAGAGACAAAGCACAACCAGCCACCAGAAACCGGTCTTTAGAGCTGGATTGGGACAAAGCCGAGAATGACTGCGCAATCTTTGTAGCTACTGAATCTTTGTTGCATAGCAGTTCGCTATCAGTCACCGTTAAGTTGTGTTTCTGGTCGTGACGTTGCGTTGTGAACCGCATCTACATCCCAGCATCTCTCCTCGACTAAGGTCTAGAATTCACAATACTGAAGATGGAGTTAGCGAACCTTGCAAACTCGACCGGTTTCGAACGCCATTCGGATATCAACACCCATATTCAAGCTATTGAAAAGAACTGGTTCATTCAAAACGGCTCTCATGATGAGGACATTCTCCCCCCCTCGCTCCTTGCTGGGGTACCAGTCAACTGTCTCCCAGCAGGAATTTTCGAAGCTGTCCATGAGCTTTCCACACTAACGATCGGCCAACGAGATCGTGCGCATAGCCTTTTGAATACCTACTTCCAGGCGCGCATCCGCGAAGGATCACACAGCGGTAAGAGTAAAAACATCTTTGCTATACTGGAGGTTGGCGATGTAGAAAAAGCTTGTGAGAGTCTGAGGAGAATGAGTCGAGGCCGCGAGATGCAAGGCCCTGTTCCAGTCAAGGAAGAGGAGGCAAGGAAGAGGAAATACTCGATTAGACACGAGATGGATACTAGCAATAGGAACGATGACAAACATTCTGAAAAGTTAGCAAAACGTTTCAAGGAAGAGCTTAATATCGTTCCAGAAAACGACAATGAGCCCGTCACACCGCTGTCCATCAACTTCTCTGGTTTACTCACGCCCCCAGATTCGCGAAAAACTATAACCCCCTCAACGATCCCAAACACTCCCCGAACCCAACGCCGCGCCCGTCTTCCCCCAATTCGCACAACACAAATAAATACTCCCACGCCCACTTCCTCTCAGAATGTTTCCTTTACCCCACTCGTCAACAGTTTGAAACATGAGTTCGGCGATCCAGATACACCATGTCCGAACCGACCGAGTACATACCAACAGCTTGACAATAGCAGCATATGGGGGAACTTCTTGGGAGGCAGGTACGAAGCACCTAGAGTAATAGATCCTCGTATACAGGCAGCGCAAAGGGCGACACACGAGTTCAATGTACGAAGGATAGAAGTGATTGAGGCACAAAGGGCATTTGAGGAGGCGAGGAGACGGTTTGGTGAGGCGAAGAGGAGGATGGATGGGGCGAGGGGGAGGTGTGGGTGGCGGTGAGGGTGGTGGTGGTGTTGGCTCAGCTCTTAAGATTCAGTAGATAGTTTGATGCTAACTATGGTATCCTTGTTTTGATAGACTAGAAATCAGCAAGAAATGAACAAGCTCACATTCACTGGCTGAAGAATGCAACACTGAGATTGTCGCATAGGTCTTTCGTTTTTGATATGGTCATCCATACCCAGCATAGCGCTTCCTGGAACCGCGTCACCTCAACGCCTCGACTACCAAACTCGACATATCAAGCTGCGATGCTCATAGGAAGACAAGGATATGGTAAGAGGTACAACAAATAATGGTATCAGATGCTACGCTATGCAAGATGAATATATGAATGCTATATCCTAGAAACGAGGAAATGAACCATGAAGGTCGGCAAAAGATCGTATGTGCCAAACCAACATCATGCACCTGTTACCGGCCCTCCAATCTCAACCGATCCCTACTTCTCCCCTCATCCCGTCTCGCAACAAGGAACCACAGACTGCTGATCCAGCACAGGATAACGCCAATCCAAGTCTGTGACGGGCTCTTGAACAGAGTGATAGCAACGAGCTGGAAAGCGCTTCGTGGAACGGCCACAAACGTCGCTGTCAATGGAGACGTTGCCTTGACAAGCAATAATGTGCCTGAGAAGACAGCCCACGAGCCCATGCCGCCGAACAGCATCATGGCCCAGAAGAAGGGTACGTCGAGGAAGGGAATGTTGTGGTAGATATGAGGAACCTCACCGGAGAGGATCACAATGGGTGTGAGGAGCATGAGGGATACCAGTGATGTGTAGTGTAAGGTGCGGTAAAAAGCGCGAGTCTCCTCCCTGTTGCCTGGCTCTTCTGAGCCACTAGGGTATCCGGTGAGCACATCGCCTACAGGTACCAAACCAGCAACAATCTTGCGGTATGTGCGTAGAAGGAGGATTGGATATAGGGCGACGAAGATGGATGAGAAGACGCCAGCTACGACGGATTCCCAGGTGACGCGAACGTTTGAGCGGTAGGACGCGAAGAAGAGGTTGAGGGTTGCAACGAGGGCGGAGGAAAGGATGCTGCCGTTCACATTTTCTTTCTGGAGGATGCAGGAGAAGATTATGGCGAGGGGGGTTATGCCAATGCGGGCGAGTTGGTAGGTTGGTAGAGGTGCGTAGCTATGCCATGTCAGAACTGAGTAATGTGGTGGAGTTGCAGGTGTCATACGCAAACGAGAAGTTGCTGAGCAGCACCTTCACAACAAAGACTACTGCAAGTGGTAGCACCTGTTTCGCGATTTGCCAGTCAAACTCAAACAGGCCTCCACCAGCAATGCCTCCCGATCCATTCGACAGCCATCTTGCAAAGGCATATATGCCAGGCTTCTTGTTGCCTCTGAATGCTCCTCCCTGGG